CAGCATGGAGGGCTGTTGTAGGTTGCAATAGGACATTGACAGGGTGCAGAGCTGGGCAAAGAAGTGGCAGATGGAATTCAACCCAGAAAAGTGTGAAGTGATTCATTTTGGAAGGTCGAATTTGAATGCAAAATACAGGGTTAATGGCAGGATTCTTGCCAGTGTGGAGGAACAGAGGGATCTTGGGGTCCACGTCCATAGATCCCTAAAGGTTGCAACCCAAGTTGATAGGGTTGTAAAGAAGGTGTACGGTGTGTTGGCTTTCATTGGCAGGGAAATGGAGTTTAAGAGCCGCGAGGTTATGCTTGCAGCTCAATAAAACTCTGGTTAAACACACTATTCCAAGTGTGGTCCAGTTCTAGTCACCTCATTACAGGAAAGATGTGGAAGCTTTAGAGAGGGTGCAGAGGAGATTTACCAGGACGCTGCCTGGACTGGAGGGAAGGTCTTATGGGGAAAGGTTGAGGGAGCTAGGGCTTTTCTCATTGGAGCAAAGAAGAATGACAGGGCGCTTGATAGAGGTGTACAAGATGATGAGAGGCATAGATAGAGTGGATAGTCAGAGACTTTTTCCCAGGGTGGAAATGACTACTACGAGGGGGCATAATTTTAAGGTAACTGGAGGAAGGTATAGAGGAGATGTCGGAGGTAGGTTCTTTACACAGAGTGATGGGCATGTGGAATGCGTTGCCAGCAGTGGTAGTGGAGTCAGATACTTTAGAGACTTTTAAGCAATTCTCAGATAGGCACATGGAGGATAGTAAAATGTAGGGTATGCAGGGTAGATTGATCTTAACAGGATAATAGGTCGGCACAACATACTGTGCTGTACTGTTCTATGTACTGTGTTTTTTTTTTATGTTCTTAAACAGAGTCATCACATTTGCTGTTTTCCAATCAGTTGGAACCGCCCCACAGTCCACCGAATTTTGGTAAATTACCATGAGCGCATCTGTTTTCTCCCCCACCATCTCTTTTCGTACCCTAGGATGCATTCCATCAGGGCCAGGAGATTTGTCTATCTTTAGCTCCATTAGCTTGCCCAACACTGCCTCTTTAGTGATAATGATTGTTTCTAGGTCCTCAACTGTCATAGACTCCTTGTCATCAATTTTTGGCATGTTATTTGCATCTTCCTGTGAAGACCGACACAAAATACCTGTTCAATGCCTCAGCCATTTTGTCATTTCCCATTATTAAATCTCCTTTCTCATCCTCTAAAAGGGACCAAGGTTTACCTTAGCCTAACTTTTTCCATTTTATATATTTAATAGAAACCTTTGCTATGGCTTTTTTTTGATATTGAGCGGGTTTCCTCTCATAATCCACCTTACTTGTCTTTGTAGCTTTTCTCATGGCTTTCTGTTGACTTAAGATTTTTCAAACCCCTTGTTTCCCACTAATCTTTGCCACTTTGTATGCATTTGCTTTCAATTTGATACCATCCTTTATTTCTTTAGTTATTCATGGCTGATTTTCCCTTTTTCTACAGTCCTTCCTTCTCACTGGCATATACTTTTGCTCAGCACTGTTTAAAAAAAAAATTGTCCCACCATGCAGTCTTTGCTCCCAGTCTACCTTAGCCAACTCCACCATCATCTCATGTTGTTTTATTTGTTTAAGGACAGGACACTGGTATTGGATTTTAACTTCTCACCCATCTGTATTTTAATGTTGGTGTCCTTTGCAAAGGTGATGCACTGGTTTTAGATCATAGATCACAGAATCCCTACAGTGTGGAAACAAGCCCTTCAGCCCAACAGAGCATCCCACCCAGGCCATCCTATCCAGACCCATCTCCCTATAAACCCACCTAATCTACACATCCCTGAACACTACTGGCAATTTAGCATGACCAATCCACCTAGCCTGCACATCTTTGGACTGTGGGAGGAAACCGGAGCATCCAGAGGAAACCCACGCAGACACGGGGAGAATGTACAAACTCCACACAGACAGTCACCCAAGAGCGAATTGAACCCAGATCCCTAGTGCTATGAGGCAGCACTGTGCCACTTGCAAGAAGGGCATTGTTTAATGCAACTCTGCACTGTGGACTGAGAGACATGGGTGATCACCCTACAGAAACCTGGAAGTGATTTTAACAGCTAACAGTGAAGAATGACCCTCAGTAATAGGTTCCACTGTAGTAAGTTGCACAAGCTATTGACAGAATACCTGATTACCTACAGACTCCTCCTTCATCACTCTCCTGGAATATTGTATCCAGTTCTGGTCACCCAGTTATAGGAAGGGTATTATCAAGCTGGAGAGGGTTCATAAAAGATTTACCAGGATGTTGCTGGGTATGGAAAGTTTGAGTTATAAAAGGAAAGGCTGGAAAGGCTGGGTCTTGTCTCACTGCAGTACAGGAGGTTGCGAGGCGACCTGATAGAAGTTTATAAAATAATGACAGGTATAGATAGAGTTGATGGTGGATGTCTTTTCCCTAAATGGGGAATTTCAAGACTAGGGGGCACAATTTTAAGGTGAGAGGAAAGAGATTTAAACAAAAGGCAATTTTTTTTTTTTTTAAACACAGAGGGTGGAATGAACTTCTTGATGAAGTGATGGATGCAGGTACAACAATTAAAAGACGTTTGGATGGATATATGAATAGGGAAGGTTTGGAGGGATATGGGCCAGGAGTAGGTAGGTGGGACTAGTTTAGTTTGGGATTATGTTCGGCATGGACTGGTTGGACTGAAGGGTCTGTTTCCATGTTGTATGACTCTATGGCACTCAAGAAAATCCAATAAATTAACTCTTGACCTATAGACTTTGCATTCTGTTTAAGATCTTCTCTGAGTAGCCTCCACTTCTACTGACTTTTCACAGACCCAGTCTTGGTTTCTTTAGATTGCTACTTCAATCCCCATACTGGCTGTAGTAGTTCATGAAGGTCTGCCTCCTCACCCTACCCCGCACTTGTACATGTTTCCCTTCAAGATATACATAAATCAATCATCTCTCTCTAATGCAGAGATGCTCATGTCCTTTGTGGATATGCCTCCATACATATGTACATGAAACATGCTGCTGCTCATTTTCCTTCAACTTTTCACTGCAAAAATAGCATCTATGCAAGGCGGAGTGCTTAACAAAGATAGGTAAGGGTGGAAAAAAAAATCAAAAAGCTCAGAAACTGATTTTACTATCTTCAGGTGGGTGCTCCATTTAATTTACCCTGCAGTTATATCAGTTAATTTGTAAAGCCAACCCCACTTTTTTATAAAAATACAAAGTTTACCTTTGGGATAAACCTCTACATTTAGCATTTCAAATAATTCCTGGGATCAATTAATTTCAGCATACCCAGTTGGAATTTATAAATGAGGCAGCTGTCTTTTTAATGGGTCTGTTTCACACTAGCATCAAAACAGCCAATGAATTTAGATCAACATAGAATTGTGGATTGGGAATACTCCACCACTGACATGCTGGCATACTGTCACTTGCACATTTCATAATCCCACAGGTGACAACCTCTTAAAAGTTTCATTCACAAGGTGTGGGCATACTAGAAAGGGTGGCATTATTGCCTGTCCATACCTACCCGGGCAGATCGGTGGTAGGCTGCCTTCAACGGCTGCACACAAGTCAATGACTTCGCAGTTTAATTCCAAAAGATGGTAAAGAGTCGACCACTTCCATGAGTATCAAGTCATCCATGAAATAGCCCAGGTAAAGATAGCAATAGTCCTTCTCATTAATGAACCACTTGTGTTTTTATGAAAATCCAGCAGCTTTGTGGATATTTTTGCTGGGAACAATTTTTTTCCATTCTTTTTACGCTGAATTTTAAAATTAAAACTGTCATAGTTGGTTCTGAACTCATATCTCTGAATTATTAATCTAGGTCTCTGGACATATAACTATTAAATACAAAGAAAAGGGAAAGTTCCTAAACCACTTGTATCACCGACGCTGCAAATACAGATCTTCATTCCTAAATTAGCCTTAATAGCTACTTCTGCACACATAAATAATGGGAAATTCAAACATGATCCAAAACATTACATCAACATCCAGACTTTAATGTTCATAGCAAACAGTGTTAACATAAACATTCCATACTACAGTTTTCAAAAGGGACATATGACCCACTAAATCAGTGTTAAATCTGAAAAGGGAAAGGTTATGGAAAGGAATGTGTGACATGAAAATATGGTTCATAACAGTCATACCATACCAAAAGATAACCATGTTACACGTAATTCTAATTTCATGCAATACATTTTCAATACATTAGCATTGTTGAAGGTTTAGGAGTGTAAAGAGCATATACTTAATGCATCTCAATAATTTCAACAACTACTTTTCCTAAATCTAAATTGTTACTGTATATCTTTTCAAATCAGTTTTCCTTTCCAATAAGACCAATGCCAATTGGGTATACACCATGGACACTAATATAGCTTGCTAGGAAGTTCTATACTTGCAAGTTTTCATGATTTGGTTCCTTTTCTAAATATCTTTGGATCCTCAAAATAAAACACTGTCTACATGAAGCATCTATATCAATGGCTTAGAATCTTTCAGCACATAAAAAACATTGATTACACCTTTGAACATCTGCCTTTACAATGCATTTCTGTTGTTTATATCCTCACTTTTTACAAGAGTAAATTCAGAACAATAACAATGAACTTAAAATCTCAAGTATAATCGGTATTGATTGGATGTTTATTATCCTTATGCAGGACCACAAAGAACCAATTGTGCAACATATCCCTAGAAGTTTATAAATATATCCTCTATTAATATTTTATTGCAGTATAATCTTGTAATAGTTTATCATTAAAAATGATAGGTCATTGTTTAACTCAGCATTTCTAATATTTTATACATAGCTATTAAAATTGTTTTTTTCAGTAATATAAATTCTGGACTTTGAGAAGTAGTTCAAATCTATTAAATACAATCAATTAATATATATTTTAATTATTTGTTATACGGAGTATTAGTAATTTATTAACTATTGTATTTGCATCGTTTGCTTTAAAAAAGTAAAACAAAATGTTTACGCAAAGAAATCACAGTGAACCAGATGAAAAAACAAAAATGCATCTCTACAGAGATGAAATTTAAAATTCACAAATTGGCCATCTTTCGTTCACCAACTTCCCTCTTTAAAATACTGCGCGTAGTAAGATCGCGATCCACCTGCCAAACAAAACCGTATTGGTCCATTTTCACTGTACAACAATCAAATGCATTACAGGTTAACAGGCTACAAGGTGCACCCATTTCAGAAAACTAAATGGTAAACATCCAGACTTGGTGGTAAAAGTCATGAGTAACATGGAATCTTTACATTAATACTAAAATCAAGAAGCAGAAAGATGGAAGGCTATGTGTTTGCAATTAATGCACACTGCCGTTAGTCACTGGAGATTTTCAGCAACATAAACAGAAGTTGCTGGAAAAGCTCAGTAGGTCTGGCAGCATCTTTGGAGAAAAAAAATCAGAGTTAACGTTTCGGTCCGGTTACCCTTCCTTAGAATTAGAGATTTTCAGCATTGCTTTCAGAAATCAAGGTGCCTACCTGGGGTAATGCGGAGTTAAGTTGGCGCTGCAGAGAATCTCTGTCGTAGATGACATCCTGAAGTTTGCCTTGTGCTAGCGCCAAGCTTTCCTGGGTCTCCCGGAGGGTGTCGAGTAGCCGGTCACGCTCATCCAGCATGTTGACCATCAACTGCTCGAAATTGGAGTCCTCCGAGCTACTCTGGGAGCCCCTCTGGCTGAGGGTGTCCTCGCTGATTGTAGGCATCACCTCGCACATCATGGTCGTGCAGAGTCCGAGCCCCTCGGGCTGGCAACTGGGCAAAGAAGCTTCCAGCCGAAATCAAACAGAAGCAAATCAAAATATTCAGGTCACACAAGCCCACATACACACACCAAAACGTATATAGTTTAGCTCGACATTCCACTTCCCCGTCCAAATGGCATTTGAACAGCCCTGGCACCTTCCGTCACTTGATGCCCCCACCCTTTATTTTTTATTATTTATTTACGTAAACCTCTCCCTCTCGGTCCTTCGCTTTTCGGAGATGAACAATGACAGCCGCAGCAACGCCGGCGCTGCCACTCTCCTCCTGCGCATTTCTCTGCTCACATCTTCTCCGATGAACCTCAGTAGGTATGAGCCCCCCACCCCCCAGCCTTCCAAAATATAAAATTAAAAAAAAAACAAACAGCCGCGGCGCTGCCGTTAACAGTCACCGAAGCGGATGTCTCGCTTCTGCAAGCCAGACTGGCGATTGGTCCCCTTTTCTCCGCCCGCCTGAACTGACGGCGTAATGACAGTGCAGGGGTTAATATGCAATCAACGAGAGCCGGAGGAAAGAATAATTACACGATAATGATTCTCATTTCGATGGTTTGAATGTGGAGTAGGGTGGATTTTACGAGGTGAACCTGGCTAGAAATTTCGGAGCGAGTTGGAGGCAGGCTCGTGCTGGAGGGCGGCTCGAGCCGGAGGGCGCGCGCCGGGTGACGGGGAGAGTGACGCGTGAGCCCCCACCAACGTCTCTGCAGGGACGCTTCTGCTGCCATCATCTACCCCCTTTTAGTGAATGCGTGTTTGCACTTGGCTCCTTGGAACTGATTGCATTTTTACTCACCGACTCAGCTGGCATCATCATTATCAACACCGTCTAGTTTAATGCACCAAGCATCATATATATATAGTGTATGTGTGCGCGCAACATGTGACGGTGAACCTCATGCATGTTATGCCCTCTGGGCGGCTCCTGAGTTTATTTGGCATTACCTCATGCCCGGGTTTGCAAGCTGTCAACTCCCGAACAGGAACTGCAAACCTCCCCTAGACTCGCCATTCCAGCTGTTTAGCATTTTTTTTTTAACCGGGATAACCGTGTATAGCATTGACGTGCAGGTAGTGTTTCCTTTCCCCCACTGTTTCGCTGCTGCTTCTGCGAAACAAATGGTGCTTTGGCGGTGACCCCGATATTGTAAAACATCGCCCTGTGTCAGGGAAACATTTAACGGGTAGCAGAGAATAGACATGGGGCGTGTGCCACTTCCTGGATCACTACAGTAGAAATATCTGTAGAATCTGTAAATGTTACCGCCCTGTGAGCGCCCTCTAAAGCAGCTGCATCCTTCTCAACAATGATGTAATTGCAAAGTATGGATCCAAAATGTTGGGTGCATTCATTAGAATTAATATAACACACTTGGCCGGTGCGTTTCCTTATCTTTAATTTTCAAACAGGTAATTCCTTTAGTGCCACGACAAAAAAAAATATCATTAGGGACGCACAGAAGTAATAATAGTTTGCCTGTCAAATCAAATCAGAGAGCACAAAATACAAAGCATAAACATGCTACTGTATTTGCAGTCTGAAGTGCGAAGAGCCTTCCAGCGGCTTGGGTAATTGCGGAAATGTTCCGAGTCCTGTTCTCCAACTACTGTCATAAAATTCACCACGAACCTGATCTGTCGCGAAAAGTGACGATGATTTAAGGAATCGAGATGTTTATTACCTAAAAACTGCTATAGTGTTACAATGAAAGCATGTTATTAAATTGCTAACAAACTCATGTCATTGTCGCGTGTCATGTGGGTAACCTCTGGTTAATACCACCGTACTATTAAATATGGATGAGCAAAAAAAAACGTGTATATACAGAAGACAAATAACGCAGTCAAAACTTGGGTTAGCATTTTTCGGGTGGGTTTTCAATATTAAAACCTGGAGAAGGCACTCCAATGGTTGTAAAATAAATGAGTAATTGCCGACAAGACTCCGGGAAGGTGTAATTCCGATTTGCAAAGGCGAATAATGTTCTGGAGGAATAAAAGTAACATTGCAATGCACCTGTTAATGAAGCAACAAACGAACCATTACTTACCCCTTTTTAAAAGAGTACAAAAGTCTTCGAAATTACTATTCTACTATACATCCGAGACAATTTCTAACCCAAGACGAAATAATCATTGCCTTAGTTCCGGGAAATCACGTCAGGGAAATAACATATGAAAATAGAAGTGGGATTGAGAAATAAAGATCATAACGTAAGTTCAATACAAGTATTGGCAATGATGATGAAGAGTGATGGAGAGATAAAAAGGCACAATATAGCAAAATGGGATACAACTAAGGAGAGGCTGAATGGGCTGGGGCTATTTTCCCTGAGTGTCGGAGGCTTAGATTAGATGTGACCTTATAGAGAGTTATAAAATCATGAGGGGCATGGATAGGATAAATAGACAAAATCTTTCCCTGGCCTTGGGGAGTCCAAAACTACTGGGCATTGGTTTAAAGTGAGAGGGGAAAGATTTGAAAGGGACCTAAGGGGCAACTTTTTCTAGCAGAGAGTGGTGCGTGTGTGGAATGAACTGCCAAAGGAATGGCGGAGGCTGGTACAATAACAATATTTTAAAAACATCTGAATGAGTATATGAATAGGAGGAGTTTAGAGGGATATGGGCCAAATGCTGGCAAATTGGACTAAATTTATGTAGGATATCTGGTCGGCATGGACAAGTTGAACCGAAGGTTCTGTTTCCATGCTATACGTCTCAATGACTTTAAAAGTAATCAAACAAGTTTACCCATTTACAATGGAAATATATAATTAAGCGATGCCTAGAGAACTGAATAAATACATTCCTAAAAGGTGACAATCAGATGTGTCAAAGTACTAAGTTTGAAAACTGAAATGAAACTTGAAAGTACACAGTCGGTTTAGGGGTATCTTACGAGACTGAAGACAGTGTAGTGGGGCAATGAAAAGTAAAGTTGGTGAGCTCTGCCACCTAAGGAGTAGTGCCCCTCCCCAATTCAATTCTGAGAACTTGTTGGGATTTTGTAGTTTATGCTATGACAGTCACTCATCTGAATCTTTTAGCCAATGGGCAAGGGAAAACTACTCACAATGCCCAAATAGTGATTACTACCTTGCCCACCTTCAGGATAGTTTTCATTCTTTTTGGGAACAAAACATTTATTTTCCTAAATAGTTCATTGATTATAGAGAAGCTATGGTGCCAGATAGTTCTTTGACGTCAATTCCTACAACATAGTAGCTTCAGTGTCCGGTGGCATTTACTGACCCCTTTAGTCCTTGCTTGTTAGGGGTTGTTCAATTTGGACAAAGAAGTAAGTGTAGCAGCAGTTTTATAAAATCTTACTCAGAATGTACTAGAAAATATTACAAATATTTGTTTTTAAAAATGATTGCAATTTTTAACACATGGCTAACAAGGCCCCCACTGACCAGACTGCTGTCTTCATCAATGTATTACAATTCTGTTCGAGAGTGATTACTTTTTAAAAAGAAATTCAAACCTCCAGTGACGAACTGAACAGATTACACACCAAAAATTCAAGTTTTAAGGCAATGTGGATCATATGGGCCTTGTATCCAAGTAGAAATTATTCTCTAGACCCCAATTCCATTCTAACTTAGAATTAATTACACTATCTAAGGCAGTGTTTCTCAATCAGTAGGATGCAAAGTTCATCCAGGTCCAGTAGGTGACACTTTTGCCAACGAAATTCAACTATAAGCTTCTCACTAATGACTCAATAATATTTCATTTTGTTTAATACAGTGTAGCAATAATACTTATTCTCTGCAAAATCATTGCAATTTTAAAAATGTCCATTAGTTGTTAATATAATACTAAAAATGCATGTATGTGTAAAACTTTACTTGCTGGAAAAATTGCGCTTTTATCATTATGAGACCAGAATTTTTTTTGATAAAATGTTTAGTGGCATGTAATATCCAAAAGGTTGAGAACTGTTGACTAAATTGTAGATGTTTACATAGTGAAGAATGTTATCTAAGAGTACAACGGGATCTTGATCAACAGGGACCAAGGATTGGCATTTGGAGTTTAATGTAGATACACGTGAGGTGTTGCATTTTGGTAAGGCAAACCACGGTAGGACTTACATGGTTAACGGTAGGGCCTTGGGGAGTGTTGTCAACAGAGAGACCTAGGGGTGGAGGTACATAGTTCCTTGAAAGTGGAATCACAGGTAGACAGGGTGGTGAAGAAGGCATTTGGCATGCTTTCCTTCATCAGCCAGAGCACTGAATACATGAACTGGGACATTATTTTACAGATGTACAAGACACTGTTAAGGCCACATTTGGAGTACTGCATACAATTCTGGTTACCTTGCTATAGGAAGGATGCTATTAAACTGAGAAGGGTGCAAAAAAGATTTACAAGGATGTTATCGAGACTGGAAAGTTTGAGTTATAAGGAGAGGCTGGATAGGCTGAGACTCTTTTCTCTGGTGCGTAGGAGGCTGAGGGGTGACCTTACAGTGGTTTGTAAAATCATGAGAGGCATAGTTAAGGTGAATAGCCAAGGTCTTTTCCCCAGGGTAATGGACTCCAAAACTAGGTTTAAGGCGAGAGGGGAAAGATTTAAAAGGGACCTGAGGGGCAACTTTTTCACATAGAGGGTGGAGCGTATATGGAGCGAACTGCTAGCTGAAGTGGTAGAGGTTGGTATAATTATAATATTTAAAAGACTTTGGATAGGTACATGAATAGGAAAGTTTTAGAGGGACATGGGCCAATTGCAGGTAAATGGGACTAGTTCAGTTTAGAAAACCTGGTCGACATGGACAAGTTGGGCCGAAAGGTCTGTTTCCATCCTCTATGAGTCTGTGACAAAACCTGATATTCTTAACACATCCGTTGCATTTGCAATCTATCTGCTATCAGCACAGCTGCACTGGTGAAAATATCTTGTACGTTCAATGCAGCAAAACAGCCTACGCACCCCATCACAAACCATTAACAAGCAAGCCACCAAGATTTGTTGTCATTAGTATTCAAAGCATGACTGCTTTAATTTTTGCATTTCACCATAAATTGAAGACAGTATCCTAAAACTTTGTATTTGTATCAGTGCTAAGAGCTTCCACTCATTCAATATACATTCAAACTGATCTGCGAACAGTGTCTTCAAATGTTTTTGTGGCCTCCAGAAAGCAGCCATGACAGCTATATACTAGGGACTTCCAGGTTCTAAACCTTTTCAAATCCCCATTGTGCCTAAAAGGATGGATACAAAGTGACAAGGATTACCCTTTGAACATATGACTATTGACTCCTGTAAGAAACTCTCGCACTAATATTGAGGTAAGATGCAATATTCACCATAGCACAACTAAAACAACCATCAAGCAGCCCATTGTACCACTGAAGAAGTGATTAAGTTGCCTTGATAGATAAAATTGAGAGCTAGAGTACTGCACAGCAAGAGTCTTCTGTTTCATTGCAGTGTGCTGCACCCTACACAACCTAGACATTTGGAGGAGAAAACAATATCACTGGGAATATCTCTGAGAATATTGTTGACATAATGATCTTCCAATGGGGAAGAGATGGAAGACAATGATAACCAGACAGAGGGAACTCAAGCAAGACACCATGCTATATTCACTAAGGGTGCTCA